GTTTTCTTTATTCTAATTAAAGCATTAAACCAGGTTTTTACCTTTATATAGTAAATATTTTGACCGCTCAGTTGCAACATAAATAATTCATCTGTAAAAAGTCTCATCTTTCAGTATCCAACCCGAAAGCCTATCAATCTGACTCGATCGAATGAAAGATGTGGATTGTAGAAAGATTCACTCTTTATTTTTCTCTCGATGTGTACTGTCGTAGGTACATTTTTTAAATTCCTACCATTCCTCCTTTATCAATAGATTAATGGATGCCTTGCTATTGCATGCCTCTCCAAAATTCAGCAGTATCTTTTTCTATGTGCAGAACAATCACTTGAACCAGTTTTTACTACAAAATAACAGCAGTAAAAAACACTTCTCTCTTGTTTGAAAATGCATTAATATTGCAGTAAGATAACAAGCTTTTATTGGAGAGAAGTGGTGATTTTGTAAAATGGTATAATTCGATTCATTACTCTATTAAGAAGTGAATCACTCTCCATTACTTTCTTCCTCTTTGCCGCAGCTGGTTTTACTTAATCAGATCATTTGCTGAACAGAGAGGAAACGTAAACCAACTCGGTATTAAACCCTCTGATCCTCTTTACCATTATCTGCCTCGGCTCAGAAACGGGTGTGTGGGTATTCTTTCCGCTTCGCTCAGTTGTATTTTTACAGCCGCTCTGTGTGTTCTGACCACAAGTGACTTTTCCATTCTGTCAGACTGAGCTGGTGAAGTCCTTCTGTCAGAGACAGTGTAGTTTATGTGCTGAGTATGACTTGCATAATAAGGTATTAGATGTCCATTTTATTAGTGGTGCCAGAATCACACAACGCATGCTTTAAATTAATGTCTCTTTTTCCACTTAAGTTTCAAATCTGACAGCATAAGTGTATGTATTAAGCTAAGATCTGCACAGAGAGTCTTTTTTTTTTACTGTGGCAAAACGTGAAAATAAACTCTTATTAAAAAACTTTCTTGGAAATCTATTAAGAATAGAAAAGAGCCAAACATTGAAGGAAACCAAAGTATCTACATTTGTAAAAAGGAGCCATTACATGAGGGCTTTAAAGATAAAATAGAACTGGTTTTTGATCATTGTCTTAATCCCCTGTATTGCATCATAGCAAGAATCAAGACTTTTTATTTTCATTGTGGACTAATTTCTGTCGAGACACTTGACCCAGAATGCATATGAATAGAACAAAGACAATATTAATTCACTTTGGAGAAAGTCTTTAGAAAGTGTTTCAAAATGAGAGATTAAAAAAACATACATACAAATTATAAGGCACATCAGAAGGAAAAGTAGAGCACTTATAGCTGCTGAAAAAAACATTGCTAAAGGAAAAGTATGAATTAGGTTTATGGAGAAGTAACTAAATGTGTTTACATAAAGTTCAACTGATGCTAGAGCTGCCTATGAATAGCCATTGATTATGAAAGGGATTATTGACTGTCTACAGGGGTGTTTGCCTTCACATCTTTGGGAAAGAAAGAATTTTTAAGTCTATTTGTTTTGGATTTAATGTTCTTAAATTGTTTTCTGGATCGAAATGGGACAAACAGCTCATAGCCCAGTGGAGTTAGAGGCAATCTGTGGCAATGCATCTGGCTCTTTCCTGGACTAATGTAACATGAACTAAGTCCTGATCTGTCAGACAGCATCCCACAGCTCTTTACTTCCTGGGCAAAGTCCTTTCTCTACACAGAGGTTAAAGATATAGGAAAAATCCTGCAAAATGATCAGCACAGGATTTGAGGGTCTAAACTGCCACCATGACACCATGTCCTATTCAGACTTCCTGTTCATTAAAGGATCAAGGAGTTCAAAGGGGCATTTAGATTTCAGGCAAATCTGGATCATGGCCGATATCCTCTTGTTCTTGTTGTCTGTGATGGCTCTGATGCCTTTCCACATGGTGGTGTTTTTTTTTACTGAAGTTCTCCTCAGTTTGCTACTTGTAGCTCTGCTTATCAATCTGTATGTCATTTCTCAGCTCTCTTGAGGACCAGCTGTTGGACAGTAACTAATCTAGCGCATAAATCAAGCGCATCCCAAGCTTTTAGCAAATTCTGCACTGTGCCACCTAGACATGATTTCCCAGTAACAGTGAAGGACAGCACAGCTGATGTACATTTCTCCAGATCAGTGTCCTCTTTGAATACCCCCTTGAATGTGTGCCTAAAGCTAGATAAAGTTGTGGCTTATTACTTGATGACAAACATTAGCATTTCCAGGAAACTGTGGAGGTATCCTCTGACCAACAGCCTAAAGAAAGACTTTAGAGCTTCTGCAGCCACGTGGCAACGGAATGTCAGCCCACTAAATGCTGCATGTTTGTCGTCAGGGCCTCCATAGGATCTGCTGACAGGAAATTACAGTGGTGCAAAATGCTAAACTGCATATAGAGCAATTCTGTGAGCCATCTGGATCTTCTGTTTCAGTTACAATCTTTCTATGAAGCTCCAGATTCAAAAACAGGATGTAAACACATGGCCAAACAGGATCTGTACAAATTAAAATGCTAATTTTAGCACAGAGAGAAATGTTGATGCTTTTGGATCAAAATTCCAACCCACAAGGCACAACAAAACAATCATAAATATGTGAGTCATGATTGAATGCATCTACATTAACAACTTCATGCCAAATTGCCTTCTGGGATCCTAGGGTTACAGTTGGGGGGAGGATTAAGCTTTGCACAGCCACTCCAACCTCTCTTTTAACCACGCCCGTCCCACTCTGTGGGACATTAAAATTTCAAAGACAGACTTCCCCCAAAACTCACGGAAGCTGTGGTCTCCACCCGTCAGCCCATTCGGAGCCTGTTGATGTCGGTTTCCAAATTTTGCTTTGATGTTGAGTTTCTGAAACAGGTTTTGAAAGTGTTTGATGGTTGATTGGAGAGAGAAGGATCTAATTGTATCAGTATAGCTATTTTTTTTAGTTTAAAAAAGTTCCAGAATGTCAGCATACATCTAACCAAACTGAGCACAAGTGGCTAAGTACACCCTATAGCATGAAGCCAGTGTAAATAATCATCTATTTGTCTATGTTTGCCTGAGCTTCCATTAAAATGAGGTGCACTCTGGTTTTTGGCAGACATAAATACTGCTAACACCAGAAATGAAACACCCTTAATATGAACACTCATGTTTTTCATGTGCTGAATATATACATCTATGTTATATACCCAGAGCTAAGACAAATCTTTGAATAAAAACATAATGGTATTTATATGTGTACAGAGATAGTTTTACAACAAGACTGTTGAGATTCCTTTCAGCTGAACTTGGAAAATAAATCTCAGAGACTACAGTATGAGCTCATGATTATATTTAATCCTATTGAAACTGTCTTGTAAAGGCAGTTCAGACAAATATGGTTGCCTAACATACATTCAGACTACGTTAGACAGGTATCTGCTGTTTTTCCTTAGTTCTTAGTTTCAGTTTTTGAGAACAAGGTGGAAACTAGTAAAACCCTTCAAACATCCCGTTCTTATTTACACTGTACATCATTTAGTTCAACATTTTCCAGCTTTTTGCCAATGTATTCAATCTAATTCATAGTACATAAGGAAATCAATTTAAGTCCCTCCTCCTTTTTGAGTTTATTATGTGCACCACAGTGCAGAATGTGAAATGTGAAAATGAAAAAATATGGCACAAGTAAAAACTTAACAACATGTGTCCAGGCCTGGGCAGTATCAGTTCCATAAGCAGCCAACATTTTCGGTTTCGTTGGAGGAGCTGCAGAGATTTGTAGCTCAGGTGTAGGAAAATATAAATTACGACTGACACAAGAGTGGCATTAAATAAGACAATGGTCAAAAGACAATGTTGGTGGAATCACACTGTAGGGATGATTTTCATTAGCATGGTTAGCTAAGTTCAGACGAAAAAGGATGCAAATGAATTTGGGGCAATGCTCTGGAAAAACCTGTTAGACGTTGCAGAAGACTTACCAAGTGGGACGAAAGTTACTGTCCAGCAGCAAGAACTCCAGCGGCATTGTTTAGATCGATGTACATTAGAGTGATTTAATAAATATGATAAAGTCAAGACCTAAATCCAGCTGGAAAGACTTGATAACTGATAACCCTAGACATCGTCTTTCCAATTTGATAAAAAGTTTTAGCGTCCAGACATGTGAAGCTTGTAGAGACATAACCTGAAAGACTCAGGCAGTTGTACTTTTAGCAAAGTGTGGTTCTAACTGTCTAGATAACAATAAAGGGAGCTAAAATAACCCCCAGCAAACTCTTTTTAGAGTCTTATTTATAGAAAATCTACAAGAATCAACCCAAAAAGATAGTTTGCTTTCTCAGTTTTTTTTTCTTCCTGTTTTATTTCAAGAAATGACACTGGCTATTTGCTTATTTTTTATCCTACAGCTTTAAGGACACACTGCATAAATGCTGCCATAGACTGATATTGAGTGAAAAATAAGCCAAAGAAAAGCTTTGTAAGACGTTAAAAAAGCTAAGACAGTCACTGATCAGAATCACATAAAAAAATCCTTCTGTTCTTAGAGATACCCTGAGTCATGAAACTGTGAAAAAGTTGAGTTTTTTTAAACTACCAAAGCTGAAATAAAACCAAAGTAAGTTCCTGTGGTTGCTTATGTTATAAATATTGTCAAAAGCTGCCTGAGGTGACAGACATGCCTACTTTGCTTTGGTGTATGAATTTCTTACTTGAACTGTATGTATTTTTCAACCTTGTCTGAACTTGACACGTTATCTTGGTAATGTGGGAGTAAGCTTACCATGTCTCAGAATGCTTGCTGCCTTAGATAAGGGGTAAAGGAATGTGGCAGATTCTTTACTAACAAAAAGCAGTCAAACTACTTCTTAATTCGAATCTACTATCCATTTGAAGCTATGTAAATAGGTCTTTAGACTAAAAGTAGATAATGGAAAAACACAAGTTACTCAAAGCCATCTGTTGGACTCTTTGCCACGAGATGACATCACTGCTATGTGTCTTGCCTCCTCAGAATGGGCATGACGGTGTGAGCCAAGTCGAGGGTGTAGCCACATCTGGCAGACCAAGCTGAGCTGAGCTGAGCAGGAGCCTCGCTACATCAGGAGATCTGCTGCAGACGAAAAAGATGGGGAAGACGGAGGATGAAAGCAAAAATGTTGGGAAGATCTTCGAGAACTTTATTCAGGCCTCGACCTGTAAAGGAACTCTACAGGCCTTTAACCTCCTCTGCAGACGTTTGGACCTTGACCCGGCGGACCACACCACTTTCTACAGCAGCCTGAAGGCAAAGGTCACATCTTGGAAGGCCAAAGCACTTTGGAACAAGTTAGACAAAAGGATGGCTCACAAGGATTATAAGAAAGGTCAAGCTTGTGTGGGAACAAAGGTAAGTTTAATTATTTCCTTCCACCATTAAAAAAAGTAACATTAGTATGATAGATATTCATAGACCTGGACTATAATGACACAAATAAATACATTTAAAGACAATTTTTTTTTTTTTTTTTTTTTTATATTGATCAGCTTTTATTGTGTAGTTAATATTTGCCTGTATCTTACCTTTAAAAGATAGCAGTGGGAGGATTGTTCTTGGACAATCAGAATGATTATAGTGGGAGATTTATGATAAGATGTACAGGGATCAGGGCTCTGTTAAGAACAAATGATCCACTATCAAAATTAGTTGCACTATAAGTTTAAACCTGCCGACGACAAATACTATCACACGTCACTTAGTCATATTACGGATATTATTTATCTGTTTTGTCCCACTGCAAAAATGAACAATGTTGCAAATGAAAAGGCTAAATATATAACTGTTTCTCTGCAGTGACTCACAGTTTCAACTAAACAACAACATCCACAGACAGGTTACATGATTACACAATTAATGAAGAAATAGAATCATATCAGCAATAGCCACATTAACCTGGAGGACTCCTTTGGGACACATTTTATTAGCAGCCACAGTCGATGCAGTTAGTTTGGTCTTATTTATAACATAGGTAACAGCTGTGCAACTAAAATGATTGTGAAATTGTTAAAAGGCTTTTTATTTACCTTTAATGGCAAAGTAATTTTCTCCCCCAAATAAGTAATTATGGTCTAAAAGTTTTCAAAGGTGCTCATTGATTTAATGTGTTCTGAGCATTACACTTGTTTTTAGAGAATAAAGATGTGATTTAACTCTTGTGAACTTCATCGTTGGTTTCACAGGGTTTAGATAGCAAAATAACCAATGTTAATTATATATTGTTTTTTTAGGCTTTTAGCTCTTACATTCCTTACTGTCGGAAGCACATAATATTATGTTAGAAGTAGATCTTATTCTATGTAACTGAAATACATTTCTACAAAACTTTATCAAGTAACAATTACATCATACTACCTAAAACGCCATAATTTTTAGTAAGTGGGCTTTATATAAAATTCTGTGAGAGTTATTAAAAAAAGTTTATGAAGACCAAGTCTTTAATGAGGTATGTGGTCTCTGCAGTGAACGACAAATACCCAAAGAATCAAGGCAGCTTAGGTGTTTGACTTTACCAACGTATGACTTCTCTCCTAAATGTACACGGTACAATATGTGTCATAAATCAAAATGTCCAGTTTTTTAAACTAGTTTTATTTCACATTTTGTAAAGGTTAAATGCATTTGGTTTGTACCCACACCACTGGGCTTTATGGAGTTTTATGAAGCTGTGTGTTTGTTTTGGCTGCAGCTCAAAGGTTCTGATTCTTAAATTGAATTTTTGCTGTAAGCCCAAAACTGAATATTTTCAGTCATTAAAAAAATGCTTTTATGGTTTCACTGTAGACAGACAGGACCATTGTATTTTATTTATCCGCTGTTCCATATTTCCTGTCGGGGTCTGAACACCTGTGCAATAAAGATGGAAATGCTGAAAGAAACATTTTCCTTTTTGAGATATTTTACATTCCTGGCAAAATTGTTGACTTCGACTAAAGTCAATTGGGTACAGGGACTCAATTTGTTGTGGTAAACAAGCTACATTTGATTACAACATTGAGCAACCTTTAGGAACAGGAGAGCCGTTTTAAACTAAAATATTTAAAATATACCCATCAGATAACCTACGATACAGTCAAAAAGTTGTAACTTTATGTTAAAAAGTTTGATTCATATATCATTTAGGCATGATGATTTAGGAAGTGATTTCTGCTTTCCTATAGTTTCCTTTTATTGGACATGAATGGGATTCTGAGCCCTGTTAAAATCAAGTGCAGACTAACTAAGCTCAAAACTGTCATGCACAATTATTTAACCTTCATGTACCGAGTTGATGTTCAAGTTTAGTCAGGGTTTCTACACTTTTGTGGAAAAGTATGGTATTGGAAAGAAAAATAAGAGCATTGAAAGGTTTATATTTTCATACTATATCTCCAATCACATCACCTCAATCTTATTTCCTACTTTATTTGTCCTTTCCTAATTTCTTATTTCTGGACTTCATGTGTCTGCCTCCTATTTTTTTTTTACTTTCCTTCTTTTTTTGTATTCATTTCCTTTCCATCCTTGCGTCCTTTGTTCCTTCCTCTATATGTCCTTCTTCGTTCATTCATTTGTAGTGTCCATCCTTATCTCTGTCCTTCCTTTATTACAGTATGTCTTACCTTGAACCTTATCTTGTGTTTTCCTACATTACTGGTTCCATTCTTCCTTGAGTCCTTCCTTATTCTATAGTCCTTTCTTCTTCCTCCATCATTCCTTGTGCCCCTCTATCTTATTCTTTGATAATGGTCGATATTAAACAGCTGTCCTCTTTGTAAAGAACCGTGATGAGAGAAATCAGGAGGAGCATTCATCTGTCAGCTGAACCTGGACTCAGCTAGTTTTTTTGTTGCACAGAGGGAAAGAAAGCATCATTCAGCGACTCTGAACATTTGGCCCCAGTTAGGCTCCGTTTAACTCCTCGTTCGCTTCACCCGAACAATTAGACCAAGGATTAAATGTGTTATCTGCTCAGGTTTCTTTCTAAGACTAAATATATTTCATGCAAAAACCTAAAAAGATAAATGCTCTCAGTCTCACATTTTGTAATTCTGAGTTGACAAAGATTTTCTCTGACATCAAACCAAAATGTCATGCGGTTTAATGAGCTGCTTACATGTGCATTGTGTTTTTATTGCTCTCAAAGGAGGCTGTCAGCTTTAACATCTTCCCCTTCAATTTCTGAGTGAACAAATCTTTTCATTTTTCTGACAGCTCTGCTCTCCATCAGTGGCAGATGTGATTTCACTCAGTGCTTTTTCTTCATATTGCTGCGTCGATTGGAGAGGATGTGATGTCATGAGTTTTATGAGCTGACACAGATGGCAGCAGAGGATGAAGCATGAGTCTCATTAAGTTTTACCATATATAACAAAATCTGTCTTTATATCAATCTTGCTGTAAGTTGGTCTCACCCTGGCAGACATTTTCCTTTTAACTCTGCTGCTCAGACACCTTTGAATTTTAAAGTTTATCAACCCTTTCTTGTAATTCCTTTGTGATTTCAAACAAATTAGAACATTAAAAGTTAACAGTTTATTCCTTTATAATCAAAATCTCTCTTTTGTGAGCGTCAGTATTTCATCTTTTCTATAACTGAACACTATATATGTTCCTATAGACATGCTGCCTAACAACAGGGCTTTATCTCCACCTTAAGCTACATCTTCCCAGCCACCATAAGCTCTGACATAACTCCAACTCCCAAATTATGAAATGACTCCTTAAATTAAGTCTATGACGTCTCTGTTTCTTCTAAAACCGATCTACATCCAGTAAAACATCATCAGAGGAACAGTGCACAGTATTTTACTTATTACTACTGACGTAATAGTTTGCAAGAAGAGCATAAATATAAAAGGAAAGATATTGAGACAAAGATAACTCAATTATTACCTAAGCCTAAATGACTATGATGGATTTGCTTGTCTCTGAGTGTGCATAGATCAAACGTCTGGCTGAGGCAATAGTGGGCGGGCGGAGGGGTCCAAGTTGGACATGACAGAAAGGAAACCGATGTCCTGACTCAGCAGATGTGGCATCAGTGTTCAGAGGAAAATAAGTCCCTGATCACTCAGTGGAAAGTGTAAAAACAAACACTTTCTGCTCATTGCTGATAGAGAAATCAAAACAGTCACAGAAGCTTAGAGAACAATAGACACCCTTTGATAATGAATAAACTAAGTTCCTTTATTGTGTGTGTCTAAAAACGATGGTTCCTCATCTGTTCTCTGGTTGCATGCCAGCAAATTAAGTACTGCTTTGCAAAGAAAAATAACTCCAAGTTTATTCTTGTCCGGGCAGGGCTTCCAGCACCTGCGTTTGTGATTCACCTCTAACAATACGTCACTCTGACAGCCTCAGGCAGCTTATTATAAGGAATGAGAGAACCAGGTTATGGATACACAAAAGGCCTTTCAGGGTTTTTATGCAGGGGTGATGTGCAATGCAAAACAGATTCTAATGCAACACAACAGGAAATGTATTGTACAAAAACAACTGAATACACCCAGTTTGCAACCATTTTAAACCCAGTTTGTATCGGTAAATAGAAAAGTTAATGAACTTCTCCACAGTTTACTTCTTCTATAAGTTACGTAGGAAACCATGGTGATAAATGTAAAAATATGTTTTCTGTATGATTTATTTAAAATGTAATCTTCATTCTAAACTTTTTATTTCACCAAATTCTCCTTGAGTGTGACTTGAACCAAAATAAGCCTGAGCAACCTCTTGTGGGATATTTAATATATAAGAGACTTTATGAACCTGAGATGTTTTTTTGTCATAGAGACAATTCCTTTATTTTTTTCTATGCTACATGGTAGATTATGTTTCCTCTCTCTTGTGTTATTGTTGAACTCATGAAAAGTAACTAATACAAGTGAAACTTTGTTTTTTGTTTTTTTATTATCCTATATTTTTTCACCTTGTTGTGTTCAATAACTGAGTCTTTTTAAGAAGAACAAGAAAATGTTTTCAGTCCTAATTTGGTGAGTTAGTTGAGACAGGAGACTGTTGAGCATTGCAGGAGGTGCCCTGCTCTGGTTTAAATTTCAAAATCATCCCAAACCCTGTCTCTGCATGTTTTTTCTCTATAAAGGCTCAGAATGTTTTAAAACAGAAAGAAGAAGAAGACATTTGCCAAAACACATGCATCATCTCTTTCCTCTCATTCAAGGCGGTGATGTCATGTTTCAACCACACATACTCAGACAGGCGCCTTAAACCTCTTCATGCATTTTTTCAGGGAAACTGTTTAGTGAGTCACCTGAATTATGCACCTCTAAGGAGCTTAGTAATAAATACATCAGTCAGATGTGCAAACCCTTCTCTTTTGTGTAGTGTGGTTGTGCCAATTAGCAAATCACACAAACATTAGCTATCTTGCGAATAATCCACAGACTGGACTGATTATGAGAGTTTATCTTGCTGAAGTGTTTCTGAATGAGACACTTCTTAGTGCAGCAGTAAACTGCAGCTCCTTCTAATGATGTATGGAGCAGTAATATCACTCCAGAGCTCATATAAACCATCGTAATGTGATACCCCCCCCCCCCCGTTTCAGCTATTCATCTGTTGATAATACAACAAACATGTTACTATGATATCGATCATTTCTCTGTCTCTTCTGTTTGTAATACCAAGCATATTTTGTCATTCCTCATATTTTATCAGTGCCTCATCATCGGAGGAGGTCCCTGTGGTTTACGGACTGCCATCGAGCTTGCCTTGATGGGTGCCAAGGTGGTGGTGATTGAGAAAAGGGACTCTTTTTCAAGGCACAATGTGCTCCATCTTTGGCCCTATACCATCCATGACCTGCGGGGCCTCGGTGCCAAAAAGTTTTATGGAAAGTTCTGTGCCGGAGCAATCGACCACATTAGTGAGTATCAGACTTCACAGTAAAGAAATACACTAAGTACAGTTTCCCCTTTGGTGGGATTTTGCTTTTTTCCTGCGCAATAGAGTTGTATTAGGAATCATAGAGTTTGTTTGTCCTTATACCTGGGCAGGGATTAAGTGCACTAGCTATGTCATGTTTGTCTTCAGTGTTGCTGTCATGGGTTTGAGTCCTGATTCCTTGACCCGTACAGCATCTCTTCTCCCCGCTCTCTATATATCCTTTTAAACTATTTGAAAAAAAAACATTAAGAAATAAAGACCACTAGTGTCTAAAAAAAAGAAAAAGACGGGAAAAAACAACAATACAGCTTCTTGATAAACCAGTGAAAACTAAAGCCCCCCCCTCATTGCTACTTAAACAGCTGGCCCACCTTATCTATGGATTTTCTAAGTGATCTTTGGATCTTGAACTCTACAGTTGAGTAACAGTTTTCCAACTGGCCCTCTTTCCCTATTCTTGTTAAGGGATAATAGTACATTCAAAGTCAGAATTTTCAGGATGAGATCTTGAGCTGATAAACTGAGATTTTACTCATTCTTAAAAAAGTAGCAATACCTAGATAACAAACCATATCCCATAATGCAACAAGAGGTCACAGTTGTTGATAATTATATCGACAATAATCAACTGTCTGTCAGATTTATCAAGGGGTTTCCTCGAACTTCGTATCGACAGGTGGTTGTAGAGGTCCAGATCCACAGTTGTAAAAACAAAACTCATTTTTAGGTGGAGCCGTCTACAAAATGAAGGGCCTGGTTTAATTTTTTTTCTCACTGGTAAAAAATACAACACTATCATCCATAAGGAAAAGATAATCAATGATTTCCTGTTTCTAAAATATAAATTAGGCTCAAAGACATGCATCAAAGCGAACAGCACCCACACATCTCAAACAATCCTCCCATCTCTACCCGTTAACTTACAACTGAACATCTTCACTTTAAATGTGCAGGACAACAGCAATGTTAACTAACTTAAGATAGTTTGCAATTAAAACTTTGTCCATCATTCAAAGACTAGAGAACAATATTTCTACATGCTACCCATTTGATATAAAGAAATGACTTTACTGACCTTTAATATTGGAGTTTTCTCTCCTTATTTCATTGTCTTTTAGTCAGAGGCACTGTTTAACGTTCCAACTGTACTGCATCATATAAATGGAGGTCTGATTCCAACAATGACAGGAAAAATAAACATGTAAACATGGCCCTGTGTTTATCTCTGCCAGGCATTCAGCAGTTGCAGCTGATCCTTCTGAAGGTGGCTCTGATCGTTGCTGTGGAGTTTCACATTAACGTGGAGTTCATTAGGCTGCTGGAACCTCCAGAGGATCAAACAAATCAAGGTATTCATTCACACCTCCAGTTTGCATTGATATTAATCAGAACTGAAAACCAGCAGTCAGATTGTGCTGTAAACCTTTTCTTTGGACAAGTTAATGTTTCTGGAGGATCTTTGTTTACATTCCTGCTTTGCTGCTCCTGTTCCACTTTTAAACTGGTTAAGCAGCAGGGAAGATTTGCCTGAAAGTTTTGTTCATTTCCTTGACACTCACTAATAAACATGAGGGAAACATTGGCCGATGTTTTGCTTTCCTCATGTCTAGCTCAGAGGAGAAAAGGTCATGTAACTTGCTTCAACTCCCTGAAAGTGATCTTCTATACTATTTATACAACCTGTTTATTAAACTACAGCATATTAACCAGATGCTTATTTCATTTTTGTTTTGGATAATATAGCTTTATGTTCAACTTTGGTTACATCTGAACATAGGACATTGTCCACTTCGCCCTGTCATCCCACTCTGGCTGGCAGCTCACTTGATGATAAGACAGGAGGTGTTTGTTTAGTTTTCATATTGACATGTTGGTAACAACACCAGCTTTGGCTAATTTTGGAGCTGGACTTATCACTCCGGTTGGACTGTGACAGATTTAGCTGTGCCCTTGACTTCATGGAAGGTATTTTACACATGCTGATATTATAAAACAAACTTGCAAAGCAACACCTGCTCCCATCACACACTTCCCCTGCAACATCCTGCTTTTTCTAAATAGAGAGGCAGTATATGCTCTCATAAGCCTTTAGTTTCACTTCCATTAGTTTAGATTCCCCTTTTATACATAATAGAAGAAAATAAGCAACTCTAAAGTTGCAGGACAGCAAGGCAAGAACTGTGCAGATAATATGATGCTTCTCAGGTTCTATGCACCACAAAGGAAGGATTCATTTGATATGAAAACTATACTCTTGCATATATTTTTCCCCTAACACTCCCTGTGCCTTTCTGTCTTTCAGCTATCGGGTGGAGGGCCGCAATCCGACCTGCGGATCACCCACTGGCTAACTTTGAGTTTGATGTGGTGGTGGGAGCCGACGGGCGCAGGAACACACTGGAAGGTGAGACAAAAGGCCTGCACAGTCCAGGAAGCTTCTCTGTGCTGTTCTGCACTTTTAAACATGACAAGAGCTTGTTGACAGATGACTGGAATCTGGTGCCACTCCCAGATATTTCAGCTTCTACAAAGATGACAAAGGAAATAATATAAAAATAAGTATTTGTCCAACACACATCTCAAAAGACTGTATATATATGTCCTGCATCAACGTTAAGGCCGTAACAATATTTTCACTCCTATTAGCTGTTTGGATCATCAAACCCATTTTACCAATAAACAAAAAAAAAAAAAAAGGAAATGACACCTAATCCCAATCATTTGTTTTGCCACCACTGGTCACCATCAAGATGATGACATATTAGATTGATGTAGTGAAATATTCCTCATGTTTCAATTCAGCCATATTGGGTAGATTTAACATCTCAGTTGTAAGTCTGGCTGTTCTCTAAGGTCTCCCACAACCTTAACAAACATCACAGTGTTAGAGGTCATCCAGATATACAGTGCGCAGAAATTATGCAGGTTCTCAAGCAGCTGAAAAGCCCGCACCATTACACTACCACCACCATGTTTAACTGTTGGTATGATATTCTTTCTTTAAAAGCTGTTGGGTTTTTTTCTGTACCTATAAAAGGACTAAAAATTTAAGATTATGTCATGTTAGTCCACAGGATATATCTTTAAATGTGTTAGAGACCAGCAAGATATATTTTTTGAGAAATGTGGGATAGGAATATTTTATATTCAGATTGTAAATAAGGCAAGTAAGGCCTGCAGTCAGTTAGACTTTTACGACTCTGAGTCAATTATTTTTTCTCATTGGGTTGGATTCCTCAACATTTGCATTTACTCAGATTATCTTTTGTTTGATAGAATTTCTAATGGTCTAAGACAGGCATCCCCAAAGTCGGTCCTCAAGGGCTGCTGTCCTGCAGGTTTTAGAGGTTTCCCTGCTTTTGCAAAACTGATTCTGATGATTGCAGTTCAGCAAAAGCCTGTTAAGGAGCTATCAATGTAAATCTGCTTTGCTGGTGCAGGGAAACCTCTAAAACCTGGAGGATAGCAGCCCTTGAAGACCGACTTTGGTGAAGCCTGGTCTAAAGACATTGAGGCTTGACAAAAAAGAAGAAATCAGTGAAGGCACAATATTTGCCATCAAACTGTTAGATGTCTTTGAAAAGAAAGTGGATTTAGATATATATCTCTCTTTCTTGTTTATACTCAAGTCTTTGTTCCTGAACATGCTGCCTGGTTTGTGCTTGGATAAGTAAATAATGTAGTTAATTGGAGGACAAGGCAGAAACGTCAAGCCTGCAAGAACTATCCACATTGAACAAACATCTGAAGTCAGATCTTCAAAAACAAAGGGAAAAACAGCTAAGTGGTGTAACTTACAAAGAAACATACAAACTTCTAACAATCTGCTTGTGTTTGACATAAAATAAAATAAAAAGTCAAATAAAACCTTTGAAAGAGCTTCAGAAACTTGTGTATTTAGTTAGACATCTTTCAAATAGTAAATGAAAGTCTGGCTTCTTGGAAGTAAAATAAAAATAATGAGTCAAACTCAATACTTTGACCCAGAATTACAGATTTCTCCACATCTAGTATTAAACTGATGTCCTCATCACTGCCTGTATGAAGTCATCCTTCTCTCCCAGGGGGGAGAGTTAAACATAAATAGAACCAAAGCTAATCCATTTATAATGGAGCAGTGCCAACCTTTGCGGTTTTCTGTTTTTCCTTAAAAAATGCTGTCATTGAACAACTAATTCAGATCAAATGTTTATTCCTTAAAAGGACAATTTGGACCAGAATAAAAAATGTTTAGCTCATTCTGTAATCATGAAGACGCCAGAGGGGGAAACGACTTTCTTCACTGCACCCGCTCGCTTGTGTGCTGCTTTTGTGGCCTGCTTATGGTAACAGAGTTAAATGCAACCAGACTTGTTCTGTGCTGCTGCTGCCTTTAGAAAAGAGCAATCTAGTGACATTTTGGTTAGTGTTGTTCAGACATAGTTTCTAACTTCCCATAAAGCACTTCTTTGTTAAAGCAATTCATATTTTAGAGAGAAGTGTTAAAGATAAAGGAAATAATAGAACATTTGAAATAATTGTTTGTTTTAAACCAATTTGACCAAAACAATTTTACTCTAAAATGTAATAAATGTGATTGTAAACATGATTAATAAACCTGATGTTCTTCTCATAGAATTTGCCCTCTGTTCACTTACTAAGCTCCGAACTATCCTAAAACAAATCCGCTGTAATTATGGTTAGACGTTGGATTTCTTCTAACTTGAGCGGATGAGTTATTAGGCCTGCTTTTCTTTTTCGGTTGGACCCGTATTTCCACTGAACTCTTCCTGCCTCTGTGTCTGTTTTTTATATACCAGGTTTCAAAAGGAAAGAGTTCAGAGGTAAACTGGCAATTGCCATCACAGCCAACTTTATCAACAGGAACACAACTGCAGAGGCCAAAGTAGAGGAGATCAGCGGAGTGGCCTTTATTTTTAACCAGAAGTTCTTTCTTGACCTCAAAGAGGAAACAGGTGGGTTTCACAGAACCTGAACAGTACAGATAATTCGATGCCATAACTGATCAGTACAAATAAAACCTGTACTCATAACTGGATTGTTTAGAAGAGTATGTTTTTATTTTGTTTAGAGGTTCATTGTGAACTTATGGGTTTCTACATCATCCATGCATACTAAATAAATAAACCCTAAAAATAAAAAATTTAGAATTTGACAAGACATATTAAAGAACAGCTTTGATCAATGAGTCTATTTATTCAGATTGTAATGATTAGCCTTCACAGCACTGTTTCTGGTTTTATGAGCTGTAGGAGTGCTGACATGATGTGATTTATTTGCAGGCATTGATCTGGAAAACATTGTGTATTACAAGGACAACACACATTACTTTGTCATGACTGCTAAGAAACAGAGCCTGCTCGACAAAAGAGTTGTCCTCAATGTAAGTAAATGTTATTTTGCTTAAAGTATATGCATTTATTTAAAGTTTTCAAATGCCTAGTTTCACTTTTAATCAGATACATTAGATCAAATAAATATCCATTTAGTTTAATTGTAGTATTTTGGGGAAAAGTTTTTGGTTTTTTATATTATTACACTACTTGACAAGTACAAATAAAAACTATTAACATTTTTTTAATCATTTTTACTTACCCAATAATTTATTAATCAGCCAATACTTAAATAAAATAAGATAAGTGGTCTGCTTTGAAACAGGGATATTTTATGAATTATAAATTTGTAAGGTAAAAGATTCAGCAACACTTGAACTACTTGGGACAAACTGTATTGACAGACTAAAGGTTTCAGATTGTTGCCTTCTTCAGAGTCATTACAAGTTGCCAAACAAGTTATATTAATATATAAAACAAATCATACAGAAACAAATTCAAAGACAACCAATCAAAGACAACATATATATATACGGTATATGGACTTCTTGCTTTTCCTGGTTATGTCTAAAAACTGTGTTTATTTTGCTTTTTTTTTGCTGATCTTAATAAGTAATATGTAATTAAACAAAACTAAAAACAAATACATGACTGAGGAAAAGGGAAAAATATTGTGCTGTTCCTTATTTTTTTTTTCTATTTTAAGAATGTTTTTATTTCATTTTGCTGACTCATTTTTTTTTAGAGAAAAGGCTGTGCTGTAGTACATTTTAACTCTGTATCTACATCAATGATAAACCCAGTTTAAGGTTTGTTGAATTGTAATTAAGGGCCCCCTAAAATTCACCCAACGGCCCTAATTAGCCCTTGGGATGCACTTTGGACACAGCTTCTATAGAGCAACAGTGCTAATTAAAGACGAATTACCATTTTACCAATAATACATTTTATTTGTATTGCACTTTACATTTAAAAAAAAAATCTCAAAGTGCTACAAAACTCATAGTTAAAACAAAACCGTACAATAAAAACAGTATACATAGTTAAAATGAGACATTACAATAAAATAACATACGTAGTAAAAACAAAACAGTAAAATAACCATAAAACCACAAAGATAAATCATTGCCCTTAAAATTAGTAGCAGACAGTTGGATGAGTAGAACTCTTGTTTTCCATTTTCTGTCACATCAAAGTAATATATATTTAAATAGTTAGGAAAGGCATGATCGGAAATGCTATCAGTTTTCAAAATTGTAGTTTTTTTTAACCGATGGTATACTTTGATACCTGAAACCTCCTCATGCTGAGTCTGTACAACATTTGCCATTCAAAATAGATTGTTAGCCTACGACACAAAGCCAAGACTTAATTTTCTAGATTTTTCTCTTGTCCTTTCTGTATATACAGGATTACATGGACACTCAGATGCTGCTGTGCAGTGAAAATGTAAACCAGGAAGCCCTTCTGAGCTACGCCCGAGAGGCCGCTGACTATTGCACAAAATACCAACTTCCAACTCTGGATTATGCCATGAACCACTGCGGACAGCCAGATGTGGCCATGTTCGACTTCACAAGCATGCATGCCTCAGAGAACGCTGCTTTGGTCAGGGAGAGATATGGACATCAACTGCTGGTGGCGCTGGTTGGCGACAGTCTGCTGGAGGTAAGGGAGGGTAAGGCAGATCAGGGTCAGTAAATAGACTGTTTTTAGATGCTAATAGCCTGCTATATAAATTAATCATCAAGTGTTTTATGATTGAGGGTGGGGGGGGTGACTAATCGTACTATAATCAGATACAGGTAGGTATTAGTTCCACATTCAAATAGACATTAAAATCAGTTGTGGAAATATGTGCAGGAAGTCTGTCGGCTGTTTCAAGCAGCCGTTATTAAAAAATGCCTGAAATATCTTCTGAGTGATGTCAGACCTATGGTATGTAATTCTGCAAGGAAAAACATAGCAACTAACAAATGTTTAAAAGCATGTTTTTATATTCCAAATAAGTCCATGAAGTTGTAAAAAAAAATCTTAATTCTTATCCCTTTCCACTTGTACAGATCCTCTATATGTTTTCATTTTCGTACAGTCTTTAATAATTATTTGTCACTTTGAAACATCATTAACAAATACACTGAGTCATATAATACCCTCAAATCTTCTATTTTATATTTTTGCTATAATTAAGTCCATTACTTCTTGAAATTTACAAAATTAAAATAGGCTTTTAAGGCAGCTTCACTGCAGGCAAGTCTAAATCAGATATCGAAAAAGAGGATTTTTTTAAAGTCATGACAAAGTTTATGATCAAAGTTCTTTGTTGCAGCCGTTTTGGCCAATGGGAACCGGTTGTGCAAGAGGCTTCCTGGCAGCTTTTGATACAGCCTGGATGGTAAAGAGTTGGGCTGAAGGTCGGACAGTTCTAGAGGTTCTGGCAGAAAGGTACATGTGCACATTTTGTCTGAAACATATTCAAGGTGTGTTTGACTTTTACCAAACTCAATTCCACTTTATAATTACATTAAAATTTGTTTGTATTTATAATTAAGGGAGAGTGTTTATCGACTTTTACCACAAACTACTCCTGAAAACATTGCTAAAAACTTTGACCAGTACACCATAGACCCTTCAACTCGTTACCCTAACCTCAACTCCGCCTGCGTTAGACCTAACCAGGTAAGCTTCATTTCTGCACCTGTGACTCTACAAACATCTTAAAGAGTACATTTTTACCTTCAGTTTTTTTTTTTTTTTAGGTGCGTCACCTATACATCACTGGAGAGCTAAATTCCTGCTCCTTGGAGCGTGCTGCTACTATACGACGGCCTGTCAATCTCTCAAGACGAGGTTAGTGTGGGACTCAACAGACAGGCGGCTGCTGACTCATCTTAGAGATATTCAGGGCGGTGATCAGACTGAATATTGATGGCATTGCTTCTCGCTTCTCTCTTTTTGTTTGGCTCTTGTTATAAAGTATAAAAACATATGAAATAAATAAACTTCAGTTTAAGGTATGATTGGATTGTTTTTACATACAAGGTTAAGATAACAGGAGTTAAATACACAGATAAACATTACAATATGTCTCTGGTAAGTAATAACATTACACCTTATGGACAAAGGACATTCTTTTGAGGACCAGAATGTTGACATTTTGGACAAAGCCAACAGATTGTTTCAAAGGGGTGCTAAGGAAGCCATTTATGTTAAGAGAGAAAAAACAACCTTAAACAGAGGAGGTGGACTCAGATTTCAGCTCTCAAAAACCTACAACACAGTTGTAGAGTTCCCACTATCATAATCTTCATCGCCTTGCAGGGGACCAAGACATCTGGCCTGGTCAGCCAGGCCAACAACGACCTTAACGACTCCCCTTTTCAGGGACATAGGCGAGTATCGGGTATTGCCGGCTAACAAAGACCTCAATGGCTCCCCTATACTAAGGGTTCTGTTCTTCCGAATCAATTTGCATGTTTTCTAAGCCATAACAAGGCTTTGCTGGGCTACTCTATAAAGCTTGGATGCTAATCCAGACATTTTGAATTGGAAAAGCTTCCTGGATGGGAAGTGAAATGTCTTCAAACTTGGAAAAAAAAGTCCAGTGTGTTTTTTTTTTTTTTACTTTTTTGGAATAATTAATAAAATTCAATTCACAAGAAATCAGATACAGAGACGTACACTTACTGTAAATCAAATTATTTGATACAGCACAATGATCCTCTGTCACTATTTTTACATCATTTTATGTTCATCTCCCTATGGTTGTAAATGATTTGCCTTTTTTAATGTCTCCGTATATAATGTTCTTCTCACAGAGTCTGAGATCCGCCCATCACGGCTCCTTACCTGGTGCCAGAAACAGACTGAGGGCTACAGGAACGTGTTGGTCACAGACTTTGCATCTTCTTGGACAAGTGGCCTGGCCCTGTGTGCCCTCATCCACAGATTTAAACCTCAACTGATGTAGGTACCTCATTGCATAACAGTAAAACCAGCTTCAGTAGTGTTTATTAAAATCCCAATATGAGAAATGATTTCCTAAAAATGTTTTACCCCCTTTTTTCTGTACACTTAAGCATAAAAACAAATTATTTTTGCTCTTCTTTCTTAAACTTACCATATATTTATAAAGTAATAATATAAAGATGTTTTTTTTTCAATCCCCAAACAATCAATTATACATTTCTAAACAGTAAAAACACACATGTGCAAACTGGTCTAAATTAGAGCTGCATTTGCCTGAATACTACATCCCACGTTTATAATCATTGCATTATCAGTTTGGTCCAAATCTCTATAAAAATGATTGTTTTTATTGCAATAATTCTTAGTTAGTAACATTATGTGTTCACATTAGATTGAGTTGATTCAGTAGATGCCCACACATTACACAGATAACAAGGCAAAAATGTAAAAAAAACAAAAAAAAACATTGGAAACATTGTTTCCACACTGAGGAACAAAAGGGAGTAAATGGGGATTTATTGCTATTAATGTTAGATATTTAAAAACCTTTTGCAAAGACAAGATTTCCCTTTGTTGTTTAGCCATACAAAAGGTCATTATTGCACAGAACTGGTTGGATGGCCAGGGTCATGCAGTTGTGATCTTTACATCGACAGCAAAGTTCATCTCTAGAAATGAAAGGCATTGCACTAAAATAGATGTAAACATTGTGATGAAAACAAATGGTCAATGAAGAGCAAGAAAATGTTGCATGAAATTTGTTTGCTTGTCATCCATTCTATTTCATAATACTATATCATGATATAGCATATTGTTTATTTTACTGATATTGTGTAGTCTGAAGCACAGATAAACACAGATTTCATAAACAATAACTGCAACAAACTTTAAAACAAGAGTAGCAAACAAAGCAGCACAACATCCTGCACACATGATTTGATAAAAAATATTATAAACTTTTCATTTCATTATCATTTCCTCTGTTACTGGACAATTGCTGAGTCAACACTGGAAAATAGTTGACTAGTTTTAACTTTGAGAATAGTCACAAGTCCTTGGCAAAATAAAAAGCAAACTACAATTTGCAGATAGCCTGTATGGGAAATACTTTACTTTGAACAAAACAGTGTAAGCAAGAGAAAAGGAGTTACCTTTTATTTTAGTTCAAATACATTTTAATACATATGTTTAGTTTGTCAGAAAGCATTTTAAAGATGTGATCTTTGGATCCGTTGAATCCAAACTTGCTTCCAAATGTTTGACCCATACAACACAATTTTTATGTTATTTAAAAGAAACAAAAAGAAGTAATTGCAAATTCATGATTGTTTTTGCCACTTTTCTCTCAAGTAGACAGACAGACAGACAGACAGACAGACAGACAGACAGACAGACAGACTTTATTTATCCCAAGCTGGGAAATTGTGGTGTTGCAGCAGTTTGAAATTGTGACAGTGACAACACAATGAGGTAAAAAGTAAAATAATATCTTGACATATTTACAGTATTAATGCAATATAAAAATTTATAAAAAAGTATTGGTTAAAGCACAAGTAATATTACAAAAAAAACAAATTTAATCAGAGAGCATCTTTTGCAGTTTTATGGTAATGTGAAATAAGCATGTCTTATAATGCTGTACTTTATAATGCTGTAAAAAATAGTTTTTTTTGTTTTTTTTTTGTGAAACTAAGCCTTTGTGCTTGTGGTGACTGCATATGCCAGCATTATCTTAACACTCACTCAGCACCAGTCACCTGATGTGCAGAAATGAAGGATTTGCCATGAAATAATTCCTTCAAAGAGTCTCTGTTTCTTGCTGCCACATTCCTGTCTGGTTTTTCCTGAACGGATAAATGGATATTTAGGTCACAGGGAAATGGGTTACTGGGGGTAAAAGGAAAAAAGAGCAACAGGATGATGCCCAAAACTTAGAGTATATAATGATTAAAAATCTGAATGTTTACCCTTAATGTTAGCTTTACTTTTCTTGAATTCTTTAGCTTGATTTATGATTTCTCCCTGTCATGATCAGAGATTTTGACTCTTTAAATGAAGAGGATCACGTCGCAAACCTGCAACGGGCTTTGGACATTAGCGAGCGAGAATTCGGGATTCAACCATTCATGTCTGCGTTGGACCTCAGAGCTGGCGAGGAGCTTGACAAAACCAGAATGATCGCCTACCTGTCAAAGTTCTACGAGCTTTTCCGTGGAACGCCTCTACCTACATCAGGTATGTGGCCTAGAGTTAACACATTTTTTGTGTTTTTGTTTCTGTGTCCTATTTTATTTTTTATTTTTTTGTTTAAAAGAGAGGAAACCTATTTTACAGATGAGTAGCTGTTTTATTGTTCTACCTTGTTGAGGTAAAGTGGTATGAGAAGAATGTCATTGTGTAGTGGACCTATGCAGTCAAGTACTCTGTGGCTCTTGATAGAGTGCATGTCTCGACAGAAGTGCTATTTAGAGAAGAACATTCCTCCACACTTAAACCTGCTCTTTAGAAAGACCCTGCTCCTTTGTATAATTCATGTTTTGTAAAGGGAAACCCCATTTAAAGCTTTATAATTTACTCTATATGTTGGTTTTATACAGCAGATTCCAGAAAAGTGGATGAAAACAACAAGGAATATCCCTCGGAGGATGGCAGAACTAATATTATGGCTCTCAACCTTTCACTGACAAGGAAGCGGGTACCAAAGGTAACACCACCGTTGATTTTTATATTATGTTGTGCTGAGTTGGCTTCAGTTAAGATCACTTCTAAATTTTGGGGAGTATAAAGTGTCGACTGTTGGGCCGCTGAATTGACTGGACCTCAACAGAGAGCCATGAGCTGCCCATCATCAGCCGGAGGACGGCTGGGGGCTGGTAAGGCAGGACCAGCACCAAATACCCTATATAATCATTCTATGACCCCTTTAAGCTACTAATGAAGGGTTGGACTTTTGCACCTGCTAAAACAAGCAAAGCAGGCATTGCATCACTGTTTAATCAACAAAACCCGTACAAAGTAGATTATCTATCTCAAATTATGTAACTCAAACAACTTTCTCTCTGCATTTAGGCCCTGTGCACACAACAAGGGTTTTGGTTAGAACTGAAAAGTTTTTGCATTTCTGCTAATTGTTTACACACCATATTAGAACCCATTTTTCATTGAAAATGGTGCAGTTTAGAAACAGATAGAGAGCAGGAGGATTCCTCATTGTTTTGTACAAAAAAAAAAACATAAAATAATCTGCCTTTGGTTGGGGGAGGTCTGTGACATAAGCACTGAGACTGCTGTAACTATAAATTAAGTAGTGTTTGAATGTTATATGGTCAAATTAATGAGTTTTAAGGAACTTTACGCTAGCTAATAGTGTGACAAAAACATTGTAAGATACATTTATTTAGAGAAACAGAATATTAAACCTATTATTAATACATCGCTGTGGTGGGCTAAGGTCTTTTAAACCACAAAATAGGTTTCAGTCAGAGGCAACCGCACTTTCTCCTCTGAAGTAAGCCTGTTTTGTTTTCGGCACGACCCGAATGAATAAGAATTTGCACAGGCGCCATTTAAACAATGAAATGTGGATGGATTTAAGGAAAAATTACATATTAATATGCAAATGATAATCAAAGCAATAAAATAATACTCAAAGTTCTGTTTGCTCACGTAGGTAAGCTGAATTGTTCACTGCTGTCTTTACAAAAAGAGAACAAGCAGGTTAGAAAAAAGAGTTATCTCTCTCTCCAAGAAGTTAATGCCACTGGTGGATTCGCCAAACAACTTTATAAAAACCTAAATTATATATTAACATTATGATTATGGGAACATTACTACAAGTGCTTCATATAGAGAGCTTTATGCAGCTGCAATCCAGAAACCTTTTTTTTATTCCAGCATCAAATCATAATTCAGTGCTGTACAGATTTGTTTTTTTTAGGTAATGCGATGAATCATTACTTTGTATGCTTATGCGTAGTAAGAGCATTCACATTTTTACTGATTTATAAATAACATCTAAATATCATACAGCCTGCTGATCCAAACAGTTCTATTTGACTTAGTGGATGAGTTTGCTTCATCGGTGCTACTTACTTTGTAAATAAAGCACTGAGGGAGAGCAGAAAGGGAACTAGAAAGATGCACTGTGCTGCAAAGCTGAGCTAATAGCATGCTTGGGCTGTGCTAAAATATCTTTTTCTTTTTTATATATCAAATTTTATGCATTATGTTTTGTGATTTCAGGATGAGAAGAAGTTGGAAGATACAGATGCTATTTACAAAAGGAGGCGAAGGTTCTTCTATCTGGAGGAGGTTTGTTAACACAAACTGGTGTTTTATGCCATCTTCTTTACAGCCTTTGTTGTTTGACTATTTTTCTGAGTTTTCTTCTTCAGGCCACAAACAATTCAACTCTCAGCTCCCTTGTGCAACAAGAACGAGATCCCAAAGAAAATAAAGTGCGCTCCATGGCTTCTCAGCTCCAGGCGAAGTTTGAAAATAAAAACAGCTACTCAACTCACAAAACACAGGTAAAACTATAATATGTTGTGTGACTGTTTAGAATGTACAAAATATTGTTCATGCTTGGAAATCTACACATCTTTTTATGCTTTTAAAGAAATGCTTATTGATATTACATCTCTGCACTTCTTTAAGGTTTTTTTCAAATTCTCTTAGAAGTCTATAATTTATGGCATAATACTTTCCATCCTTTTTCTTTTCTGTTTTTCACTAACACTCCTTCCAATCCTTATCAAACCCTAGTTGGACTCTGAGACGTTCTTGGTGTTCCCGTATCGTAATCAAACTGAGCTTCCGCCTGTTAAGTTCAGGCCTCCGGTGCCGCCTAAACCTTCCTCAGTGACGCAGGTAGATTGGAGCAACACCACAGGCCCAAAGTTTATGTTTATTCATTCAAATTCTTTCAAAAACTTACCTATAAACTATTCATATAGATTTAAAGTCTGTTCATTTAACTGAATATCCTTGGACCACTTGTAAGTTTTTGTATCTTCTTTTTGTATAACTGACAGACTTGAACAAGCTTTATTATTTGTCATTGACATTAAAATCCATGATTAATTTGAAACATATATCAGCAGCCAGCTAACCTTTGCTGAGATTCTTTTTATTCTTTGGCTATTTAAAAGGCATATTGGTGGTTTTATTTTCTTTAATTACACTTTAACTCACTATAATGACATATCAGTAACTTTATGAACTTAGCCTCAATTTAGAGGTAGAATTATCGAATAATGACGTTGGATTATTGTTATCATTATTTGAAATATAACTTTTAAAATATTTTAACATTTTATGATTAATATTCTAATCAGCCAAATCAGATATTTTCTGGAATATGGTACCAACTTGACATTTGATTTTTACCCAAGGTTTAGTTTTTTTAAATAATAGTAATTTACTTCAAAACTCAGTTACTGTCTAAACAGAACAGCTTTAGATGGGTATGCTAAATTAATTCCAACTTGTCTATGTGGATTAATTTGTAACTGAATAAAGGTTTTTAATCAAACTTCGATCTTTTTCATGAGCTGTTTATTTCTAAGAATATATCTAAAAAAATGACAAAAGACTCAATATAATTTTGCATTTAAACCCTAGAGAACCACCTGTATGTTCTTTAAATAGTCCACATAGAGTGATGGTGGATGTAGATTGACAGCAGATTTTATGTGTACCATCCCTTTCAGTTTGAGAAAAGTATCATAAAAGCGGCCGAACAGTTAGTCAACCTTCCTTCAAAGACTCTACCAAAACCCCAGCTTCACGCTCAGCCCAGGCATCCGTTTTCAGTCGTGAAGCTCAGACATGTTGATCAAACTGTCACAGAGATGACGCCTCGGCATCAGAGTGAGAGTCCTGACCCCCCTGCATCTCCTCCCTCCTGTCGCTCAGCTGTCTGTTTCATGACAAGAGTTCTGCATCGCCTCAGAGAGGTGGATGAACACATATCTGAGGTGAAAACTTTCTCCTGCTTTTTCTTTCTATATTCTGCTCTGCTCTGTTCTTACCCTGCTGCACTCGCCGATTCCCAAAAAGGCTCCTGAGTGAATGATGATTGTATATTATGTTCCTATTATATGACTCGGCCTGCGTAACATGCAGTCAGATGAAGTCAGCCTCCAATTATCTAGCTTGCCAGAAATGTAGAGCAAACCAACCAATCAGGCTCAAGTTTGGTTCACTGTTATTGTTACAACAGCAAAAATACTTTTCTTGTAAGAACATGAACACAGGCAGATTTTGAATCATAGCCACTCTCTGCCTTGGTCAGTGGAATTTGACCAGTGAAACCAATATTTCTATTTTTACTTTAACAGAAGGATTTATAAAAGCATTCCTCAACAGAAGGCTTGTTTAAAAGCGGAGAAATCATTCCTTTCTAAACCATTCATTCAACTTTTTTTTAGTTTAAATGTTGATTTATTGGCATTTGCACTCTTTTGAAAATCAGCTTTTAGAATATATCGTTATTGTTTATTTATGTAAAAAGATATATATATATATATATATATATATTTTATCATTCAGTATAGCATTAATGGTAAGAGATGTTAACTTTTACCCATTTTTTTTACATTGTTTTTAAACTATAAATGCAATGTGTTTTTTACCATTTGCTAAACACATACTAAATTATTGGTTTTTCAATTATATTTCTAGCTTCAAATTTGTTGTTAATAATTTAAGTACTTTTATTCTGAAGAGGAACAGATATTTTTCAGTGGCTGTTTGTTATTTCTGCAACTATTCATGCATGAAACTCAAATTTTTATCCTGACGAATTATCAGAAGAAGGAAAATAAATTATTTACATCAAAACCTATATTTGATTAACTTTTTCATTATTCTGACAGTGTAGCGGTGCTGCTTTGTACTTTAGATATTTACCTTTTCATGGAACATCATTTAAAGTATGAACCATGTGAATCGAATGACATAAATTAAAATAGCTAAGTGGAAATTATTAAAAACAAATCTTTTATTTACACACAAGAGTTAGATATTAGCGTGGAATGGTTTCATAAAACATCACAGAGCTTATTTTTGATTTCTGAGTTTAACTGAACCAATGGGACCCGCTTTAACCAATCTTTCAGCAAGGTCTTAAATAAAAAAAAAACTTAAAACTGGTTATGAATAAACATTGTTCAGGTCTGAATGGACCATTCAGGTAACTGGAGTTATCAGTCTGCCTAGTGCTATCAATACTAGGGCTGCATCAATATAACAATCTGGGCTGATATTTGATACTTATATTGCCTTTATGGCGGATAATTGATAATAACTGATATATATTATAAATATTGTCTACCATTTGGACATTATGGAAACCACCAATAATGCTGAGATTGTCTCTCGTCTTCAATTGAACACCCATAATCCCATTACCGCTATTATTCACCCTATCAGTTCTAGCCCCTAGATGGTAAATAAACTTTGGGAACAGCATCGATATGTGTAAAAACGACCAACAGCAGATATCGATGTTAATGGTGACATATCGTGCATCCCTAAGTCAATACTGTGAAACCTGATATTTTTGTGAGTGAATGTGTCATCTTTGTGCTGAAGTGGAAAGACTGCTGACTTTCCCTTCTATCATCTTGTAGAAAAAAGCTCAGACACAACAAGTTAGAGAGTTTCAGACAAAGAGCATAAAGGAAAAAGCTGTTCACCTTAGGGGGCTGTTCTCAGGACCCAGCTCTGATGTTCTCCAGGTGAATATCTAGCATCGTGTAAAGCCATGCTTATTTTGAACACCAGCATGCAATGTCTCCATTTTCACGCTTGCGTACCGTTTTTATACATATTTCAGTTCAAAGTGTATATTTATAGTGTTTGTTCCTTCATGACATTCCTAAAACAACAGTAGAACCATATCAGTCTGAGATTGGTTGTGTTCAATAAATGCATGTTTGAAAGCTTGTCTGAAATGTTCCTCAAGCACCTCCTGTTTCTAATTACCAGCAGCCCTCATAGGAGAAGCGTGTGGTGGCACTTTGTGGGTTTTGCTGCTCCGCCCAAACATCCCTGTTTAACTGAGCAGCCAGATGTCAGATTAATCTAAAAATAATTCCTTATTTCCATTTTCCAGGGAAGTTCAATAAAAAGGACTTTTTCCCAGTCAGCTGATAAGTGCCACATGTGCTCCAAGCGTGTTTACATGGTGGAAAGGGTCTGTGCGGAAGGGCTCTACTTTCACCGGGAATGTTTCCGGTGTTCAACGTGCAACTGTTCTCTCCCGCAGGGAGCGCATGCCTTCAACTCTCAAGAAGGTTTGTTACTTTGTTTGTTTTAGATCATGACCACCTCTCTCTGTCGTTACCTCACTCGATAAATGTTTTTGTAGGAAAACTGTACTGCAAACTTCATTTTCATCAACACAACAATGGGACAAATATTCGGAGGGTTTGTTCTCTACCTCCAGTAAGTAACACGGTTGTTTTTACATCTTACTCTCATACCCATAAAATAAAATGACTCAAACATCTGTCATCTTCTTTTAGAATCGTAATCGAGTTAAGGAGCAAATGGCTGAGGATAGAGCGACCTCCCAGTCCAGCAGTTCAGCAGAGGTGCAGAGTACACCTGAAGCAGGTACCTGCACTTCGTTCATAAAGAAAAAGCTGAACTGGTCACTGAGTGTTACCCGTGCTGTCTATAACGCCCCCTGGTATCTGTCCAACCGCGCTCGCAATGCAGCCCAGGCCCTTACCAGTCACCTGAGAGACAACGCCCACGACTACACATTACTGTTTGAGCTACTGAGCATGAGTTTACCCCTGTTGTTTGTTTTACAAGAGGTTCTGCCGCAGATATACACTGACATTGTTCCAGATGGACCCAGTACCTTACAACCTGTACTGCTTTGGCTGCAAGAGCAGGTCGGGCAACGGCTCATCTAGTTTCTTATCATGCAAAAGCTGATATAACTTTAAACATTTGTCCATTTTACCACTGATACTTGGACCAGATACACGCTGATATGTTCTCATCTTTTTTTTTTTATGAACAAACAAGTTCCTGACTTTTAGCAATTTTATGTGCAGTGGATGCAATTGTGCGCAGGCCAAAAAGGAGAAAATAAGGTGAACAAATGCATTAAATGGTTAATAATGCAGGTAAGTCTAACAGACCAAATAAAATACTGTAGAGTAATTGGAAGTCTAATCATTCTTAGTGTAGATCTGGCCTAGTTACAAACTCTTTCTGAAATCCTGTAAACCTCATCGTTGGTGAGTCACTGATGACCTTGATGCACTTTATCTCTGAGAACGGTTTTGTCCATGAAGCAATAAACTGTCCGCTTGGACAAAATGTTTGAACTCATGTCAACAGTTATCACGTTTCAGCTTTATTCTTGACAAATGCATTATTTAGACATGCCTTCAGAGCTGTGTTTTGATGAGAATGTAACAATTTTCAGACCTAGCATCTCTTCTTGGATCTATTGATCTTGTTCATTTTGTATATTTTCATTAATAACACTAAAAAGTCTACTATTGAGGGATTGCTTTCATGCTGTGGATTTTTTTTTTGCTTTATTTTGCTGCCATCTACTGTTGCCTCATGAAATTACAGGCTATCTATTTGTTTTTTTGTCTACCATTTTAAACAATCATGTTTGAATGTGCATTTGTGTTTGAATGTGTTTGCCATTTTTCCAAAGCATGTTGGTGGAAAATCATCTGCAAACATCTCTGACTGGAAGCACCCGGCTGCTTTCCATGATTAAACGTACGCAGTCTGAAGATGCTCGCTGGGCACTTTAGATTAAGTTTAATTTTTAGATTTTATTTGAAAGTTATGTTTGCAGAAATTATATGCATGTTCTGAAGTGTTTACAGCACGGTAAAACTTTTTTGTTTCATTATCAGCCTTGCAATATTTTAAATCTGCAACTAAATGCCTTGTTTACTTTTAAAGAGAAAAACATCAGTGTTTTAAAATACCAAAGAACATTTTCCTGCAGACAAACTGGACTTGTATGAGATATAATTTATGCATCACTATTGCAAATGACTGTGCAATGGCTTGCTGTGACTGTCAATATTGTTTATGTTTGCATAAACATTAAATGCTTGTGTGCATCCAGGTGTTTGATTGTCTTTTTTTTGGGTCAGCATTGTCTTAGCTCCTGTTTCTCTTCTCTTATTAGTTAGCGGACAACTTGTATGAGCCTTGTGGGACACACGGAGGGTTAGGAGAAATGACATTTTGAAGGTGATTCCCTGCATGGTCATGTGGTTTGTGCTGTGCATACATTCCTGACGGAGTGTCTAACATGAGTAAAATGCATTGGGGGTTTTGACTTATCTTAAATCACTTGTTGCTCCAATTTTTTTTATAATCAATCTTTAATCTGTTTGGGAAAGAATTTAGGATTAATTCAGAATGGTATGAGACTCACAAAGTGTGAATTGTTATAAACTAGCTGTTGTTTTTATAACAATAATCACATATTTCTAACTCACTTAACTTCGATATCTTGATGAAACAGCGATCAGTCTGCTTGAACAGAAACCTGCCCGTACTATATTTTAACTTGACTTAAACCACATTTGGAGAACCACGGTTCAACACTCTGGGTGCATTCATTGCTTAGTGATGGTGGTCAGAGGGCCCGGTGGCGCCAGTGAACGGCAGCCTGATTTCTGTCAGTGAGCCCCAGGGCGGCTGTGGCTATAATGTAGCTAACCACCATCAGTGTGTGAGGCATGAATGGCTGGATGAAGTGTAAAGTGCTTTGGTCAAGTCTTCTGACTTAAAGAAGCACTAGATAACTACAGGCTATTTACCATTTTTAATATTGTTAATTTGACTCCAAATCGGAAAAACCTGACTTAAAAAAACATCTTAGGTCATAATTGTTAACAAGGAAAGTGAAATATTCCTTAGTATCTCTAAGCTCAAAAACCAAAATTGGCTACCTTTGCAAATATAATGATAGAACCAATGGATAAAATGATGAAAGATGAGGTACTATGCTGTTCATTAGCAGTTTTGATTGTTTGTTTCTTTTTAAATCAAATGAAAATGCCATACAGCTAAAAACAATGTTTCTGACAAACTATCACTATGAAAATCCTTAGAAAGGCATTGCTCTTCTCCTCTATTGCACATTATAGGATGCACCATCAGAACAATATTTATCAAATCCCTCTGGTTTTCATATTTCCAAATAGAAAAAAAAAATGATGTTAGGTGCATTATCATGCAAAGATATTTTTTCTGATTACCTTAAAAAATATCTGGTAAAAACAACATGCCAGAAGCTTTATCAGATCTTCTCCTCTAAACCAGTGTTTTTCAATCCTGGTCCTAAAGGCACACTGCCCTGCATGTTTTAGATGTTTCCCAGCTTTCACACACCTGTTATCAATTGATAGCAGATTATCAGGCTTTGCTGAACTCCAATCATCTGAATCAGGTGTGCTGAAGCTCAGAAACATCCAAAACATGCAGAGCAGTGTACCCTGAGGACCAGGGTTGAAAAACACTGCTCTAAACCATAGATTTGCTTTAAAGTTTGTTTATTTTTAACCTTTTGAAACTACTATAAATGTGACAATCTAATTCTTGTTCACTGCTGCAGTCGCTATATCGTGTTGGACACAACACTTAACCAGTTTGAGTCAGTTTTAGACTCTCTAATGAGATGGACTTACCGGTACATGAAAAAAAACCTTAAAAGACATAAAAAAAAAAAAATGTTTTATGTTTATATTGTGAGAAAGGCCAGAAAAGGTTTGTTCGCTGATACTGTAGTAAAAATACAATTCATTTCCATCTTTGCTCTTTTAAACCTTTGCTTTAAAAATTAAAAGAGAGGCAAAGAGAGTGACTCGTTTTTTTTTCTTTCAACCATATTTTCAATTAACCCTTTTAGTTAAAATATTCATGGAAACTAAATGTAACTGAACAAGCTTTAAAAAGGGCACATAATAAAGGTCTTTGTGTTTTCTATAACTATTTGAACATATGGATATTCAGGTGGAAAAATTCTGCAGAATTAAAACAATGCAGCTGAGATAGCTAAGAAATGCTTTGCTACAGCAGGATCTGACGGGCTCACCTTCACCTATTCCACCATGGATTCTGTAGTGTATCAGAGGATGGATGAAGTGAACATGTCAAAATCAAAAAGAACAATTAAACCTGCAGTGCATCAGAACTTAACTTTGCAATCAGATTCTTGCTAAAAACATTCCAGGTACCTCAAAAAGAACTGGCTGAGAATTAAGCAAGTAAAAGTTCTGATCTTGATCTTGATGAGTTGCTGCATGATGCTTTGCCATGCGTTGTAAATGCAAGTGAGCCTTTAAACATCTAAGAACTAATGGTCAGGACTAGGACAAACCATTGAACATCATTTTTGTTGCAGGGGCCTGTGATTCTACTACTGCAGACCTCTGGATTGGACTGAGCAGTGTTGCAGCACAGTGCATAAACAAAACAAGTATAGTAGCAAAAATGCTCGACTAACTATGCTGTACACTAACTACACTTTAAAACAAATTTAGAAATAAGTAAAAAAAACAATCTTAAATTAAGTGTATTTTCCCTTAATCTGAGTAGGTAAAAAAGATTATTCCCCAATGGATTTAGTGTTTTTACCCTTAAAATAAGATAATTAGAAGATATGCACTTGATATAAGATAATTTAATTGTTTTTTTCTTATTTTAAATGTAAATTGTCTTTTTTCATTTGCAAAAAGTCTCACTTGCCTCATCATTTAAAAAAAAAAAATGCACTTATTTTAAGAAAAAATGACTTATTTAGATTTATATATATATTTTTTTTTTGCAATGCATATCCACTTGTATCTAACTTCAAAGCATTTCTATATGTTCAAAGAAACAGTTTAAATTAAAGGTTATGGTTTTAACACAAAGATTCCCTTTGGTTCTTTTAAACTATCAAGAGGTTTCAAAAATACATCTTTTAGAATTCTCCAACTCACTTCAGCAGCATAACTTCATAGCGTTAACTTCTATAAAAGATGAAGAGCTCCAGTTTCATCATTAAAGTTGTTGAAAAAGGCAGTCAAGGACATTTGCCACTAATTTTGATGCTAATTTCTACTACCGAAAATGTGTTTTCTACAACGTTCTATGCTTTTGGAAATTTATTTCTTTTACTTTGAGTGATTGTTTTCCAACCCCTAAAAAAAAAAAAAAAAACAAACGATGTTTTATAATCCTATTTTCCCAATGGTATAACTGACCATTATTTATTAACCCATGAAAGGTCGCTTGCATATCTAAAGGAGTTTTATAAAGAAATTTGCATTTTGTAAACATATACTATGTTTCTTAGAAATGTGAATAATAAATGGTTATTTTAAGTCTAAAGCTGGTGTGTAAACCCTGTATGTAACTGAGAAACCTCTGACAAAGAAGGGGGAAAATAATGAACAATCTGTTTTCAGAAATTACTCCAACTGCTCCATCTTAAATATGTTTACTGTATATGTTAGCTATGAATAAATTATTTATGTATGTGTTTGCTTCATACTATTAGAAGCTGGCAATGAAGAAAAGTGTGTCTTGTGGCTTCCAGGACTGCAAGTCACAGTCAAAGCTGACTTATTTCACATGACTTATCATTTGATTTGTGTATCTAATGATTGTTTATTCATGTAATCGTCGCTATTGTATGCATTTGTTGCATGGCTGCTTTATAACCAAGTTTTGAATTTTGTGTGTGTTGTTACTCATACATTGGAAACGAGGTGAGTTTTTCATTCTTGATCAAGCTTAACAAAACAGCTCAACATATGTCAATTAAAATAAATTAAAACAATTTGGAGGAATGTGTTCTACACAGATTCTGCACTGATAGGATGTTCTGTTACATTCATGCAAAACTGAGATGAGATATCAATGGATATCAATAAGGACATTTTGATTATGTCCGTCCTTTAATAAACATGGTGGAAACCAATAAACTCTAATAATGTCCTGACATTGTCTGATAGAAAAATCAGACATTTGAAGAAGAGCTTGTTAATAAAAACAAAGTTTCTGTCTCTGTTTCCTTTCTGTTCTTTCTTTTCATCTTTACTTTAAACCAGAATCTCTGCTGTTTTGAAAACTGCTCAGGAATGCACACAAAGCTCTACTTCGCTGACTTTCCTAAACACATAAAGGGATTTTTGTACCATCTGTAGGATTGAAATGAAAAAATGGAAAGGTCCTTGAGTCTGAAAAAGGACTATTTGCATCATGAGTGTGTGCTTAGTTAAAAGAAGCAACAGACATTTTTGAAATGCTTTTTTTTGCTTTTTTTTTTTTTACTTTAAAAGGGAACTAAGATTTTCTTCTGAATTGTGTTTTCTTTCTTTCTTTTATTTATTTATTTGGTTTTTGCTCCTTTTAGCTCCTTTGATTTGAGAAGAAGCTGATTTTTCTCAGTATAAAAACATCAGTCATTCATAGGCCTAATGCAGATCCTTGGTTCTATAATACCAGCAGAGGGCGCTGTGATTCATAAATGAAAATGAAAACTGCACCTTGGCAAAACAAATAACCTAACCTGTTTTATATTATATCTTAAAAGTTAAAAATTATCAACAACCTAAAGTTGCCATTTAATGTAAATTTAT